TACATTTAAATATGCAATTAAAGTGATATTGTTAAATTTAATTTTATTGAGTATCTTCTTGATAGCTAAATGTATAATATTTCATTTCATTTCAACAGGTATCAAAAAGCTATTTCTAATCTTCACTTGCAAAACTTATGAACTGAAAAAAAATTTTATTACTTGAAGGAATAGAAGGTTTAATTAATGATATGTTTTGGCTTTATAATATGCTTACCTCTCAAACTACATATATGGTATGTCTGAATTACCAAGTCCAATGAGACTTAAGACTTTTGAATATCCCTCATGTTAAGAACTATACCAAATAGTTGATTTTGATAAAGTTCTTAAAATATTATACAAATTAAAATAATTAATAAATGTTACATACCATTCAATATTTTGAAAATAAAGTTTTATATATCTAAAAAATATCATGACAAAAAAAATCAAATTTTTTATAAGGAAAAAATATAGTATTTAAACTCCCTATAAAAAATAGGAGATGTTAATAGATATGATGAATATGATAGATATCATTATAAGATATCAGGTGAAGATTTATCCCGTAAAGGCGTGGAAGATTGAAAAGGATTCAATTCATACGTTTTATTTTAAGAATTCGTATTYGGAAGAATTTCAAACTGTTAAATTAAACAGAAGTAAAGGGAACTCGACAATACAACCCCTAGCAGATTTAAAGCATGCATACAGGGCGCCATTAAAAATTAAAGATAATAAAAAGACTGATTTGCTGACAATAGTAAAAAACAACCACATTCCGCAGTTTTATGCAGTAATTTATGCATATATACATCTATACTGAATCCAAATGTCATTTGTTAGCACTTGGCCAATTTAATGGATGAACCTTTWTTATTGGGCTATAGACAATATGTGTTACATAATCTAAACTGACTAACCAAATGCAGTAGTGCAGTGTATAATTGATAGCATAGGTTCTTCTTAAAAGTTAAAAGTATACTTCATAAATAACAAATACACAATCTTCCATTTTGATAGTATTTATCTGAATATAGGCTAAAATGTTTTTTAGTTGAAAAACTTAACAAATTGTTCAAGCAATCTCAACATTAAGCGGGTTTCTCAGCACAACTGTTCATGCTTTGAAACTAGGGTTACCAGACGTCCTCTTTTCCCCGGACATGTCCTCTTTTTAAGCTTAAATAAAAATGTTGGGGGTTTTTTTTTCAATATTGGAAAATGTCAGGGTTTTTCATGAAATGTGAATTTTCTTAATAATCACCTCGATATCAGTAAATAGGTATTATAATAGGTTATATAATTGTCTTATTCTGTGTTAGTACTTATTTATTTCTAAATCACGAAGAAATTCTATAGTATTTATTTTATTTTCTTAAGTCTAAATATCAACTAATAAATGTGYACAATTAAATATAATTTATACCTAATGATATATTATGTATATCATATTATTATTACAGTAGGTGTATAGGTACATTACCTATAAATAAAATAAAATGTACTTATTAATAATCTTCATGATCTTGAAAAAAATGTCCTCTTTTATTGTCAACCATAAATGGTAACCTTATTTGAAGCAATATTGGCAATACGAAGAAAAAGAGTCAAAAACACATTCATCGTCATTCTACTTAWTCTAGTAACCCTAGAATTACAATCTCCATTTTTTATTTTATTTGGTGGCTATAAATTTCAGTCCTAAAAATTAATTAAATAAAGAAAATACTAGTATATTTAACATGTCTTACAATAAGTTACAATACCCATTATTTAGCAAGCGCTGTCAGTTGAGGCTCWATTACTTCACATCACTTTAAGAATTTATTATATCTTACAGTATAATGTAATCTTAAATCGTAATAGGCACATATAWAGTATGTGATATTATTATGATCTGATCTATTGATCTATAAGATTGGATTGAGTAATTCAAAATATTTCAAATAATTGCCTCTAATCGCTAACTTTAGTATCTTTAGCTTTAAATAAACCATATCCTTAATAATACTAGTATATTAAGATGTTCTATGGTATAAGGTCTATGAAATAAACAAAGTTAGGACCAACATTACCTTTAAGATATACCTTGTACCCACGATTTAAGACATACCTTATATAATATAAATATAATATATATAATATATCTTAAATCGTGCTTGTACCACAGAAAAATACAAACCGTGGGACATAATAYTATACAATTATACAGTGTTATTCACCATGCACAATATAGAAATGTGTGTATACAGTATACTGTATAATACTATAATTTATAAATTAAATCATTACAAAATAATAATCTGATTTAGTGATTTCTTTCTATAATAGTATTATGAATTATGATATAATATAATATAATTCGAGGGTTCCACGTAACATCTGTGAATTAAATTGTGGGCGCGTTCAGTTGCCGCCACTCTTATCACCAGCGACCAACAATATTACTATACTAACCTGTGATTCGTGAACGTGACGTGTCTATGCCAACAGAGATAAAGAACCAAAAGAAGTAATACAATTAATACATTGAATCTATACAGTATATTCTATAGTCTACGCACACACGTCACACACGTCACGCACACACATGCGAAAGAATAGATAGCGCAAAACGGAATCCTAATCGACCATTGCAGGTTGCAAAAGCAAAAATAATTTGTTATTGTAAGTTGCGACGGATGGAGACGACGATTTATTAACGTTACAACTTTCAATAGATACATGGTATTTATTTACTATTAAAATGTCGTCGTTGCATAAAATGTCATAACCGTTATTGTATTAATTATCACGGTATTACAACACTGAAGTCGTCGTCGATTGCTACTTGTTCGTCGCGCAGAGATCAGCTGTCCATCGTCGTCTTGTCTTACGTGACCACCGTTCGCACCGCGTACGGCCCAGTACAGAAGCGACACCCGCAGACTTGTTTTCGTAAAATACTACTAATAAGAAATTGGCATTAGGCACATACTTCTTTTATCATTATCAGTGTGACGAAACGGAGATTCGGAGATAGTAAGGTTTAGGCAGCGCAAGCGGTACGTGTGGATTTTGAGTAGAGGCATGTTGTGAATTTGTGATATTGTGATCACCAGTGGTTGGTGGACGGATACTGCGTTTTGCTTACGTGATTAGATTTTTCTACTCTCTGTGTTCTCTCCCTTCTGGCGACTGGAAAACCTTGAGCTACAAACAGTACTGTCAAACCGTGTCAAGTTCGCGTGTCCTGGACGTTTTTCAGGTTTCCGACTAGTACCACGGACGCATCATGGAACACAGATATAACTATTTCCAGCAAAACCGTAAGTGTACCTACCTACTGATGCAAAACTTATAATAGTAGTACTCTAGTACCATAATGTCACTGTTGTTTAGAGTTGAGTTTGTTTAGATTAAAACATTTTCTTTTTTATTCACTCAGCTAATTCCTTTGTTAATGGACAGTCAGCGTTCAATCAATCATCTGCTGATGGGATTCAGTCGACCAATAATAACGCTGGTAATACTTGTCACTAATTAATACATAGGTACCCAAACCTTACCTACCTTTAATTTTATATTTAATTGTACCTATTAGATACAATCAATACACAAATATATTATAATAATTGAATAATATGCTAGGTAAATGTTCTTTTTGTACTTTTATGATGAGATCATGTTCATCATACAATATAGATCTCACTGGTTTGAACATCAGAAATATTTATTCAATTAATTCTAATCCTATATCAAAGGTATGGGAAAATGTTGTTAAATTATTTTGATCATGGTAGATACTTGACATTGTTTTTACTTAGGTACTTTTTAACTTTCCTATTGAAAATAATCAAGAATGACATCAGTACAATACAATAATTTTTAAAAGGTTCTAGAGTAGATTCTACTAGATAGAAAATTCTAGATATTTATTAGTTAAAAAATGTATAATTAAAAAATTAATATATAGGTTCTCCTGCCTGTTTTTTTTTTTTTTTTATTGACAACATTTTAATTAGTGATCTTCATTAAATATATCTATGTCTAACTACGTATTTTAATTTTAATATATTTTAAGTCAGTCGAGTTAGTAGTTATGCAGAGCTCATGTAGCCATATTTCATTAACCATTTATCTCCATGAAATAGAATTTCATTCGATTTTGAATGGATTACCTAATTAATGTTTACAAGTTTTAAATAAAAATATTTTCTAGGTATATATGTATTTTATTTAAAAAACTTATCAACATTGTATAACTAATACCCAATACAATTTTCAACTTAAATAATAAGTACCTATTGAGTTTTTATTTTTTAATAACCTACATTAAATGTTATCATTCTAGCAAGCATGCCATCCACGTCTCCCTCAGATCAATCACTGTTTCATGAGAAAATACATTCAAATCCTAATGCTGTTCCATTAATTAATAATTATTCATATCAAATGGATTCAGCTGATCAACCACCGCACTCGTCTGGACCACCTAGGACTAATGCTAAAGGAATTTATGAAAATTCTCAATCTTCAATTCCAGTAAGTTCTTAATTTGAATTGAAAACAATGAAGCCTATTAATTTGATCCCAGATTTTCAAATTTTCTGTAATCCTATAAAATGTTGCCGCTTAATCAGGACTTAATATAAAACTGATTTAATGTAGACAAATAATACATAGACACTGACTATGGATGCCCATTCACTAATGTTAATGGCACATAAACACTAGACTTCATGTGTTTAATACTTTAATAGGTACCCAAATAGGTAAAATGTATTTTGCCAATTTTTTTTTTTAATAACTAAAAAATTTAGTTAATTTTGACAATTAAGTTATACTATTTATCAAGTATTTTAAATCATAAACTATCTAAAGTGTTTTTATTATTAGGTGAGTTTTGAAACTATTTCCTGATCTGAAATGGTTTTACATACTAGGTAATCTTAATTAATGGTGAAACAGAGTTTTTTACCTTGCATCTGAGTTTCATAGCTCTGGCTAATTCTATATATTTTACACAACATATATTTTATGTTAAATAAACACCATTCATTAGCCATATTATTAAAGAATTCCTAAGTATTTTTATTTTAGTTCTAATTAATAAAAAGAAACTTATTAACTTATTTATAATTACAATTAGGTACAATTTATTTGTTCATAAAATATTAAATTGTGTTGACAATTTTTCAATTACCCATCTATAATATTTTATTTTTATACATTTTTTTTTTCAGAATGTTCTAAATCTAGCTCAATCTAATAATGCTGAAAATTATTCAATAAATCCAGATTTTCAGCTACAACCTCATCTTACTGCTTTATTACCACAACAATCTAAAAGAGTTCCAGAACTTTATCCAGTAACTAAATACAATACTAGTAAAGGATCCATAGCAGAAAATATGAATACAAACTATTTTTCTTCAAATAAGCCTTATCCTGAACCCAACATTATTGAGTATGATATGGAAGAAACATCTACTGAAAGTTCACCACAACATACTTCTTCATTATACTCTGAAAGTACAGATCAGGATTCAGAAAGTACACATCCAAGTAATGTATTTCCACAGCTTACGTTAAATAAAGGTACGGAGTGTCATGTAACAAAGGAATCAAAAACAATTACAACTTTAAATCATGAGTTTCCTGTACCTAGCCAATTTGCTGATTTGAGTCTTAAAAAAAATGATAATGTTGATGATCACCAACATTCTATTTTACATAGTGCTTATAATCAAGATGATGATGATATTATTGAAGACATTCCTTTATTTGACAATATTAACCAGAATGATAGAGAACCAAGCATAGAAAATCTTGAATCTCGCTGTAATGAAGAAAGTTTAAACATGCCGAGAACTCAAACATTTGATTCTTACCCTACTAAAAACGATTTTGAACAGACACAATTTAATTATGAGGATAAACAAAGTTCATCTTCTTCTATTTATAATAGTATTACTAATTATTTGTCTTATAATACTGATAAATCTTCAAACATTCAGAATGATTCTCAGTTTAGTAAAAATTCATATTTTAGTCAAACTAACACTTCGAATCAAACTAGTTCATCAAATAGTTCAGTTTTACAACACTCACAAAGCAAACCATTATTCCTTAATGGCAATACTGAACTATTTAATCATCAACAAGCATCATTAAGTGTTCAAAATTATAATAATGACCCTAAGTCAGAACATTTTAACCAACAAAATAAACATATTCAACCTGATATTCAAAATTTAATTGCTCCCCAAATTAATTCTCAATCACAATCCAATTTTACTAATAATTCACAAGACAAAATAGTTTTTGAACAGATAACATCATCAGCTCAAGCATTAAATTATCAGACTAGTAGTCAATCTATGAATTCTTATGGTACCAATTTGTATAATCACCAAAATGAACAAGGTATTGAATCTACTAKCCAGCAATCTATATATAATTCTTCAAAACCACCTGTATCTGAATTGTTGAACGATAATCAACCTATAGCTAGCCAAGAGTTTAAAACTCAAAGTTCATCATTACTATATACTCAGTCTCTTGGTTCAATGACTTCAGCTACCATTGCAGATCCTTCAAAAAAATCATTTCCTGTATCTGAAATAGTACTTCAAGATAATCAGCATATACTGTATCAAAAATCAGAAAATGAACCGGCAAGTAATTTATTAAATGTATCTAATGCTACTAAAAATAGTCCAATTGATGTATTAAATCAAAACTCTACAAAAGTTGTACAATCTGAGTTTGATATTAAACTTTCACAATCTCCAAGTAATATCATACCTGGAAATCCGCAAGAAACGACAGTTGATCAATCTAAACCCAAAAATACACAATTTAAAGAAGACTTACATAATGAAGAAAAATTGATGTCTCCGCCATCTTTTAAAAATGTTACTCAGTCTAATGATTTCTTTAGTTCTAATAGTATGACTTCTCAGCTAGATTTAAATAATCAGCCACTATCAAGAAATAAATTTTCTCCAGAACAATCTATGATTGATGATAATTCAAATGATAAATTTTCTAATAAACCCATACATTTTGTATCCCCATCAATTAGTAACCAAAATGTGACTGTACAACAATCTATACCTACTACAGGTCACAGTGTTAGTCATTATTTTAATTCATCAAATGAAAATAATAAATTTGTATTTAATCAACAGTCATGTGATTTACAATCAAGTAATCAACTACAAAACGTGCAAATACAGGATAAACCTACTGTTTCAGTTAATCCTACTTCAGACAAATTGAACAATTGTATGACATTTTCCAATGCACAAAATACCTCATTAAAATTGTTGTCTTCAAACCAGCAACCATTGTCAGTAAAAACTGAATTCAAAACAGATGAAAGTTTAAAATTAGATTCTGATGTAATATCAAAGGAAACTGTAGATTCTTCAGAACATGTTTTTAATGAATCAGATAATTTGAATTTTAAACAATTAGAAAATGTGGAAATATTGACACCTAATAATCAATTTTCCAAAATGTTCATTGATAAGCAACACAATATTTCTGATAATAAAATACATGTTCAAGAGCAATCAACACCTTCTTATTTTTCAAAAGACATATCTCTTGTTAAAGAAGAAAATTCTATTGCATTTCAAAACCTCACTTCTACAATGCATGATAATGATAATTCAGCACCTAAACTATCAGACATTAACAAATCTCAAGCAATATCAAGTGAACAAACAAATTTGCCATCTTTAAATTCAGGTCTACTAACAAATAAGGTTTCTCCTCTGTCAATAAGTAATCAAATTGTACCAGATAATAAACTAGTTGGTCAATTAGAAGCTAATCAATTTCCTCAGCAACATTTAAATAATCAAGTAACATCCAATGAAATGTCATCAACATCTAATCAGTTGCCACCTCAAATGTTTGATAGCCAACCAAAGTCAAATACTATACAGCCTCTTCAGTCCGCATCAAATCCATATACAACACAATCATTTGATAAACAAATATTTCCAACTACGATTTCATCAGCATCACATCAATTGCCGCCACAAATGTTCAGTAATCAACCAACATCTAATACTGTATCACCTCCTCAGTTTGCATCAAGTTCTTGTTCAACGCCAATTGTTTCTACGGTCACTAATCAATTTCCATCACCAATGTTAAGTAATCAATCAACATCAGATAATATACCACCTCTTCAAACTGTATCAAATTTGTATCCAATACAAATGTTTAACAATCATTCAAAACCAGACACAGTTTCACCTGTTCAACCATCAGGAATTAACCAGTTTCCTCCTCAAACTGCAGCAAAATCGTTTATTAATCAATCCACACCAAGTTCAACAAGGCCTGTTTCAGCTACCAATCAATTTCAACCACAGACATTTAATAGTCAAGTTAAATCATATGTCTATCCTCTTCAAACATCGTCTGATCAGTATACATCACAACCATTCAATAGCAAGACAAATTCTAATATGAGTCCACATGTTCCTTCAGCAGCAAGTCGTTTACCTTCGCAAATAATAAATAATCAACCTAAATCAAATGCTGCTTTTATTCGATCACCAACTGGCCAGTATCCATTCCAACCATTTAATAGTCAACATACACCAACTACTGTTTCATCAGCTGTTAACCAATTACCACCACAGCCATTCAGTAATCAACATAAATCAAATATTGTACCTCTTCAAACAATATCAAATCAGTATAACTTACAAGCACCCAATAATCAACAAACACCAAATTTTATTCCACCAGTTTCGTCTGCCGCAAATCAGTTTTCTTCTCAAATATTCACTAATCAACCTAGATTAGACCCCAGTTCATCAAATAAACTGACGGCCAACCAATATCAGCTACAACCATCAATTAACCAATCTGTATCAGGTGTTCCACCAATTCAACAAGCAACTAATCAGTATCCATCTCAACCATTTAATCAACAAACCAAACCAAGCAATTTTCCACCTTCTCAAACAGTCAAAAATCAATATCCTTCACAGCCATTTAGTAAACAACCTGGTCAACAAGTATTATCAAAACAAAATCTTCAACAGGCTTCCAGTAATCAGTTTAGTAATCAATCAAATTCAACCCAATCAGTTCAAAATCAGTGGCCACCAGCTAATTTTCCAAGCCAGCCTAGCCTAATCTCTTCGCAGCCAATAACTATGAACTCAGCTTCTAATTTGTCTATTGTGCCTCCCAGTGTTAATCAACAAAATCAAAGGCTTGGCACTCATATGTTGCCACCAAATCCATTGCCTTCTAATAATTATTACAATCAAGTTGAAGGAAATGGAAATGTCCAACAGCCTCAGTCTTCAAGTCAGCATGCACAGTTAGCATCAAAAGGGTATCCACCACAAAGTAACATGGGCTTTTCTAGTCAAATGAATTACAAGCAACCAAACGTTCTTCATGGACATCAAGGATATTATAATCAACAGCAAGACCAGTATAGACCTGAACAGAATCCTTCAGTTTTACAACAAGGTTTTTCCAAGGCATGGGTAAGTTTTTTTAGGTTTGTAACATTTTCACTGCATCTGTTTCTTGAATCATCATACAGATAATTAGATTAAATATGTTATAAAAAAATTAACACTTTTGAAAAACTACATTTTTACATTAAGTGTTATAATTTTTTTATTGTAAATTTAAAGACATTTAAAGATTTAGTTTATAACTTTTGCCTATTATTTACTTATATATTTGTGTATGCAATGAATGTAAATTATGGTATATTTTAAATTAAACAACCTAACCACAGTAATTATATGTATTTAAAAAAGGGGTATGACAATCTGGACTTATTAAAATCAAGAGATGTGCTGCCAGGTGACGGAGTTCATCCACCAGAGATAAAACTTCCTCAAGGATATGCTAATTGTGATAACTGTTCTCCAGAGTATGTTTTTAGATTTAAATTAGTATTAAATATAAATTATTAACTATTTGTATTTATTTAATCTAGTATATTCCGATGTACACTAAATAAGTTTCCGTCTTCTAAAAATTTGCTTGATAAAAGTCGATTGCCACTAGGGATTTTAATACATCSTTATAAAGATCTTTCCGTAAGTATAATTTATTTTTTGTTTATTTTAAACTAATTGTCTTCTAATTGAATTGAATTATTTTAGCGTTTAACTGTGATACAATGTGAAACTATTACAAGATGTCGGAATTGTCGTTCATATATTAATCCATTTGTTCAATTTATTGATAATGCCCATTGGAAATGTAACTTATGTTATAGAGTTAATGAATGTATGTATACTGTAAAATATGATATAATAAACCTTTTTAAATTATACAATATTTTATGTATTATTTATAGTACCTGGAGAGTTTCAAATTGATCCGTATACTAAAACACTTGGTGATCCATCTAGAAGACCAGAAATACAAAACGCTACTATTGAATACATAGCTTCCCAAGATTATATGGTTAGTGAGTGTACTTAATATAACAGCGTTATACAATATATTAATTTTTTGTTTTACTTATTAATTTTAGGTTAGACCTCCACAACCAGCATTATATCTATTTCTTTTGGATGTATCTCGTACTGCAACTTTGACTGGATATTTAGAAATTGTATGTGATCGAATTTTAAATAAAATTATAGCAGATGATATACCTGGAGATTCCAGAACTAACATAGGTTTCATCACATATGATTCATCTGTTCATTTTTACCAAATAGCAAATAGTGATGGAGGACAGCCTAAACAGCTTATCGTTAGTGATGTATCTGGTAAGCATTAAAATATATATTTTTGTAAAATTTAGATTTTTAACTATTTATATTTCTAATTTTTAGAAATATTTTTACCATTGCCTGATGGTCTTATGGTGAATTTGGAAGAAAATAAAGCAGCTATAAAAGATTTGTTGACTAGCTTACCAAATAATTATAGAGAGTCATACAATACTGGTTGTGCCTTAGGAGCTGCACTTCAGGCAGCTTTTAAAATATTGGCTCCTCGTGGAGGCCGTGTTACAGTATTCCAAGCTAGTTTACCAAATTGTGGGCCAGGAAGCTTAGAATCAAGAGATGATGGAAATCCTCACACCGGTGATCGTGTTCAGCATATGGCTCCATCTACTGACTTCTATAAAAAACTAGCTCTTGAATGTAGTGGTGAACAGATTGCTGTTGACTTGTTTTTTGTGTCTTCGCAATATTTAGATGTTGCTACTATCTGTAAGTAAATACAAAATTCTTATTTGAACATTCTAACATTTGAATGGTGTTATTTTTAGCTGGAATATCTAAATACTCATCTGGATGTATACATAATTTCCCTCAATTTGATGTAAAATCTCCAACTATAGTTACACGTTTCATAAATTGTTTTGATCGATACCTGTCTCGTAAAATTGGTTTTGAAGCTCTGTTGAGACTACGATGTACACGCGGTGTGGCAATACACTCCTTCCATGGAAATTTCTTTGTACGCTCTTCTGATTTGCTTATGTTGCCCAATGTTAATCCTGACAATGCATATGGTATGCAATTATCTATTGAAGACAGTTTGGATGGTGTTTCTGTTGTTTGTTTCCAGGCAGCATTACTTTATACTTCTAGTAATGGTAAAAATTTCTATTCCTAAGTTAATTACACTTAAATTTTATAAAAATATTTATGTTACAGCGGAACGTCGAATTCGAGTTCATACACTTTGCATACCAGTAACCGAAAATTTAGATGATGTTTTTCACAATGCTGATCAACAAGCAATAACATGTTTGATAGCTAAAATGGGTAAGGAATATCAAAAAGTGTAAAGAAAAAATAAATTCTATCAATTTAAAAATTATAATAATTATAAACTGTTTATTGTTAAGCTGTTGACCGGAGTACAGAAAAATCACTGTCTGATGCACGTGAAGCCTTTTTCAATGCTATCTCAGATTCTCTCTCTGCGTTCAAAAATGGTTGCTCATCTTACAATGGTCCTGGAACAATGTTGTCTCCTTTGTCATTAAAAGTGTTTCCATTATATATTCTAGCTACATTAAAACACGTGAGTATTTTATTTTATGGTTTAAAAAATGGTTCATTCATTATATGGACCTTTCCTTTAATTCACTACCTTTTTTTTTTCTGGTTTCTTTGTTTTTTTTTTTTTAGATAATAATATATATATTATATTATTTTGATTTTGGGGCATGAAGTGTACAATATGTTGTAGTATTGTTTCAAATAAATTATTAGGACCATAACGCTTACACCACATGTACTCGACCAACTAGCTGTTCAGCATTGGTCAATAGTACTGTTTTTATTTCGAAATTTATTTTGCTCCAAGAACTCCCAATAGTATTAATGTGAGCCAAAGTATTAGGATCTACAAAATTAATAAGCCAAAGAAACTTTTCTAGTTCCTGTTCCCGACAGATCAGCAAGTACATTGTTGCCAATTATTATTGAACATGTTGCTTCAGGCACRACAATAATTGCTGATGAGTGGCGCTCCTACCAAAGGCTTGATCTAACTTATCAACATATTTCCGTGAATCATTCCATTAATATATATAATCATCTAAAAAAAAAAAAACGGAAAAACTAAAAATATATAATAAAATAGTGGTAGTGAATTAACGGAAGGTCCCATTATATATTAGTACAGTCTAGCGTGAATAATTCAAATCTCAAGGTGGAAACAAATTCATTTTACAATGCTTTTTTCAAATTAAATTCTTCATAAAATAAATTTTACTAACTGATATTTTAGTTGGCAAAAAAAATATTTAAAATATAAAGGTTTTTTGAGTCATGAGGTCCAAGTTTTCTAGGTTCGACTGTATATCTTTTTAGTACCAAATACTATAATATATTATATTGTTATATACTATAATTCATATTTATTATTTAAATACAGGCGGCATTTAGAACTAATCAACCAACACGACTTGATGAAAGAATGTTTAGTATGTGTCAAATGAAAAGTTTACCTCTAAACAATCTTATTCAGTACATATATCCAGATTTATATCCTATATATGCTTTAGAAGAACAGGTAAAAATTAATTTAAAGCTTAATATTTTTTTATTATTTATTTTAATAGAAKTAAAAATGTATAACTAAGTATTATTTATTTATGTTAAGTAATATTATATTTTGTTGTAGCCAAAAATAGATTATGAAAAGTTGACTGAAATTCCCCTTCCACCAGTCATACAACTATCTGCAGAACGTGTTGAATCTAATGGTGTCTATTTAATGGATGACAGTGAAACTTTAACTATATTTATTGGGCATAGGTGTTCAGATAAACTTATACAACAATTATTTGGTTATGTAAATGTTAATTCAATGCCAGAACTAATTGTAAGTAATACACAACACTTAACAAATTTTATTTTATCTTAGTATCTTAGAGTATACAATAGTTACAAGAATAAATAAATAATTGATATTCTTTAGTATCATCTTATCACGTTTAAATACTATTATTGAATATACAATTTAATAGTGTTTTCCACCACACCAGCACTAGTCAATTTACTAATAATCATCCTAGTGCAGGCTGGTGCAAGTGTAGATGAAACATTAAATCTATACTTATAAATGATATTTAAAGATAATAAAATTTTTAATGGTTATTGTGGTACTTATCATGATAACGAAAAGGCTGATAATTCAGCTGCTCCTGGAGCTCGTGCAATTATCAATGCACTGAGTGCAAAAAACTGGCATAGTGCATTGAGGTGAAACATAAAAAGTCCACTCAGTGCACATTAATTTTGCCAATGGAACATAAAAATATGTACTGCTGCAACTCAGTGCAGGATGTTAGAAAACACTATAAGTAGCATTAATCAAATATTGATGTACAAACTAATACTATATTTAATCAATAAAACATTTGCGTTTTACAAGTGACTAATTAAAAATTGCCTGTCCTCCACATGATGATTATACTTAGGTAGCAATGTACTTGTTCTATTTTCACTAGCTAACCTAAGACATCTATGGGAATTAGATTCATTAAAAGATTATTGAATGTCAAAGTCGATTCTTCTGCACAGAATTCATCGATTGCGTCTCAGACGCAGGTAAATAATTTTTTTCCTTCCTTTTCTGTGTTCTGATTAAGTAATTGTATAGTAGGTAAACGTAAATTTACATAATAAATCTAATTTATTTGTCACTTATGTTGTGCAGATATATTTAAACATGAATTGGGTTTTACTTGATGAGCTTACATTAATTTTATCCTAAGGCTGGTTATCGATTTATGATTCAGTATGTCAAGTTCCTTAGTCAAAAGATATTTTGAATTTTATAGTGCTATAGTATTGAAAATCAATAATGAATACCATTTTTAATTAAAAAATAATGAAATTTGAATCATTGATTAGTTTAAATTTTGTCTTCCCAATATGTTAGCCAATGATGTCGAGCATTTATAACACTGACGACTGATGACTTATTTAATAATAACGAATTATGATTATTTATTTATCAATCCTAGAACTAAAAATGTATTCAATAGTCATAACTAAAATCATATTAAAATAGTGTAATTGAATGCTTATAAATTATACAATAGGTCGCAATCGAAAAATAAAAAGGTAAAAAAAATAATTTACCTATTTGACATTTGTGGGTGCCTAACCTAACCTAATCAAGAAAAGGTATAAAAGGTTGAAATGACGCAATTGAATGACGCCTTTTTTCAATCTTATCTTTAATTTGTTTAAAGGCATCTCAGTGTTCAACCTGATTCATTGATCCTTTTTATGTCCAACATGTTACCATCAATTATTTTACATTGAGGCGAGTAATGTGTAACACATTGCAAACTTAAATTTCGTACTCTTTTAATATTTAATTTTGATGTTCATTTTTATTTTTTGTTTAGTTTTATTTTACTTTTGTTCTATTTCTGAACTATTTATTGTTTAAGGATATTATGTTATAAATGTAAATACAAACTGTATATTTCTATCTTTGTATAAAAGGCCCCCCCCCAAAAAAAAAAAAAAATATAAATTAATATATGAATAATAAATACTAAATAAATATAACTGATTATTGACAAATAATGTATATTTGTGTCTAGTTTTATATGGTATTTGTATTTAATTAATTTTTTTTTTTTTTACAGACTACATTGGCAGAAGTGGACTCCAAACCATCATATTTGTTACGTAGTTTTATTTCTTATCTCCAACATTTTAAGCCATATCCATTACCAATAGAAATTATCAAGTAAGTAGTTTTTTTTGTAAATATTTTTTAATAATTCTCAAAGGTTTTGAACATGTTAAGTAAAACGTGTTAAGATATTATGAAGTTGTATTCAATGTTAAATTCCAATTAAATAAAACACATTAAGAATTTGTTTTATTTTGGTTTCAGAACCATATTCAGTTAAACTTCTTTAGATAAAAATCTTACAACAAATGTCAACAGTCTCATATAACTTATATTCTGAATATTTAAGTCTTTCTAATAGAAAAATAAGTTGATACTGAGCGATTCTGTTAAACCTAGGTTTTAGAGTAGTAACAAAGATTATATAATCTGTGGTAGTAACGTCTTAAACTAATATTTTATATAAAAATGAATCATGAAAGTACAAAATGAATTAATCATCTAAGCGGATTCTAATAGTTAACAGATACAATGATATTTATATTTATCTTTAAAATAGAATGTGAAATGTTTTAATATCATCTCAGTTGATTCATAGATATATCCTTGTTAAACATTTTCCTGCTCAATAGACTTAATTATCAGTTTTCAATTTTTCATTCTAATGGTAAAATGTTGGATATAATATCATTATATCAATTTGTACATAAATGTATTTGGAAAACTAATGATAATATTAAAGAATTTTGGAGTGAAAAACATTTTTCAGGAAAAAAATAGGAATTTCACGATTACTGAGATAAGTATTTTTGGGCCATCATTAAAGTTTTATTTTATTTTTATTTTAGGGACAATGGACCACATAAACTACGTTTTTACAGTCGATTAATAGAAGATAAATTTGAATCATCATTATCTTATTATGAATTTTTACAACGGATCAGTCAACAAGTTCGGTAATGGAGTATTATTAAAAATAATTGAAATAAATTATCGATGCTTAATATACACCTTAATGTTTTTTTTATTCCTTTATAAATATTTATTTGAAGATAATGATATAAATTAAATTTGTATTTTGTATAATCCATCAATTATTTGTTATTTTATTTTATTGAGTTTTACAAATAGATAATATGAAATTATTTGATTTATAATTAGTTGTTTTCTTTTTTTGTACATAAATTAAAGAAAATTATTTAATATATTGTACAATGATTTTTAATGTTAAGTAGTATATACACAGTTAAAATATTGTTTTATGTGGTTATTGGCCAGATATTTGTCTGGTATTATTTATTTGTAAAATTGTTTTATTAAAAATATGTTTATTCTATTTTATTATGTATATTTTTGTAATGCTATACTAGCAACAATCATATTCTTATATATTACACATGTTCCCAGTTATATACATATACATTAGCTAATATAAAATATAATATAATATATTATATATCTTCTATTAATTTTCAAAATACTTCTAATAGTAAAAAAAAATTTTATACTGTGCTTTTATATTATGCATTTCCTAAAGTTTATAACATAATATATAAATATGCAATACTGTCTACTGCCTAATTCCCAACAGTTAAGTCAATTTTTTTTATAATTTAAATAAAGCTACCGTTTTCATCTTTGTAAATTGAATGTGGCAAATTTCAAAATATTTATCATTACTAAAATAAATAGAATATATTCGGTATTACAGAATAGATAAACAGTATGATAATTTTGTTGATGTATTACATCCGTAAGATTTTGATTTGCTAAGTATTTAAATTACTATGTTTTTTCAGTTGAACATACGTTTAGTATATTTTGCTATATAAACTAGATTCATTAAATTTATTATAAATTCAAATAGTACAACAAAAACAATATTTCAATCAGTTCAAAAATAATTGAGTAGTTAAATTAAAGACTTGATAATATTCAAAAATGTGGTTACCTATACTATTTATTCTTCCTTACTTATTGTTGCCATAAAAATTTAAATGCCCCTACATTTAAGGATAATATATGAAAAAAGTAGTTCATGTGCGATGTGCATCCAAAACACAAACGAAATTACATAATGCATTCATTCATTCACATTTCACATGAAAAATGAACTATGTTCCTAAAAATTTAAATAAAATGTTCGGACAAGTTCCATGTTGGTATAATATTTTAAATGAAAAAAAAATGGAAAAATTGGCGTCGTTTGGTTATTTGTATCGCAATTTTTTTATTAAACATTTTCAAAAAATACGCAAAATAATTAACGCCCCCGGGGGGGTGGCTCTTGAACCACCAACCTTGCGGTTAACAGCCGAATGTGCTAGCCATTGCGTCACAGAGGCCACTCGTAACATTGAGTAGTAAAAAATTCATTAGATGTTATAATTAAAAGCACAAAATCGTGCTGGGTTCTTTACTTATAAATATAAATACCTACATTACTTTGCTAGTAAAAATACGCAATCAATTATTTCTTTTATTGTATTGCAGTGAAAACTCTATAAGGAAACCCGTTACTACGAAAAACTATACAAGGTGATTCTTTTATCAAAGAACACTCATTGTTTAAAAAAGTATTGGCTTTTTAAAAATATTTTTTAAATAGTTTCAAGTTGTTAAAAAACCAACCTTTTTTATTAAAAAATTATTTTTTTAAATATTTTTTATCCATATAATTTTTTGTGTTTTTTACTTTTTTAAATGACAATATAGAGTTTTAATTTCATATTCGAAAGCAGAATATTTTTCTAAGTATTTTTATTCATAAAAATCGAATTTATAGGGCTAGTAGTTTATGAGTTATAAGTATTTAAAATTTAGATTGGCAGAGTGGAGTGGTACGGGGTTATAGGTACCCTGCAAAATGTTTGTCCACTACTCYGCTTGTCTAAACTTAAAATACTTATAACTCATAAACTACTAGCCCTAAATTCGATTTTTATGAATCAAAATACTTAGAAAAATATTCTGCTTTCGAATATGAAATTAAAACTCTATATTGTCATTCAAAAAAGTAAAAAACTCAAAAAATTATAAGGATAAAAAATATAATTTTTTAATAAAAACTTTGGATTTAACAACTTGAAACTATGTAAAAAAAGTCAATACTTTTTAAAATAATGAGTGTTCTTTGATAAAAGAATCACCCTGTATATTACGTAAATAACATTAAGTTAACTTCATATTATAATGGTTGGTTTGATTTAAAACCTATTAATTACTCTCTATTACGAAAACTCTCAATAGGTAGCGAAAGATATCACATGGTCCCTTCAGATTTGTTATAGAGAGTTTCACTGTATTTTAAATATCACCATAAACGGCATAAACTCAAAAATCGTAAATAATATAATAAATTATAACAGATATACTAGGTACCTACTTAGTACATAATATAAACTAATATGTTTTGCCCTCAGCAAAAAAATATCGGTAAGTATTTCTTGAAATGTGATACCTAGCTTTAACTATTTTGACTCTTATACCTTCACAATGTCAGTCCGCTGATAATTGAATCAATTTAAGCATATGGGTATACTAGTACTCTCACCAGTCACAACTAAAATATCGGCGAATTATACATATAGTATGTATCATATATATATATATATATATATTATATACCTATTATCAGTATATTAGATACCTAAAGTTGATGATGTTAAATGTAACTTCGTAGATCCGTAAATGCATTGCCAATATCATGAACTCCTAACATTAGTAGACATTTATTTATGGTAATATGGTTATTTACTGACAGCTGACAACATAGGCAATGTTGTAAAAATCAAATATGATTAGGAAATTCCTGTAAGCGCAAATCACAGGATGCTAATGGGGCTTAGCCTCTCAATCTATTATAGTGTCCCACAACTTATTAAAAACTCAATGTATTAATAGCCCGGGCTTAAGCCCCCCTCCCCCAACCAAATTGAATCAACTTGCTCCTATAAAAGTTACCTAAAAATGTCTAATATTATTCATTTTGTACATTGAAGTGTTTAAATTTAGTCAGAAATGACAAATGAATTAATATGAGATGAATCATTTATAACATTGCATTAAAAAAATAAATTGAATAATTTATTAGTTATATTCAGAAGTTAAAGGTAGGTAAATACAGGCAGTTACTACTTATTGTCTTATTGATGCTAAAACTTAATTATAAAAGCAAAATATAAGTACTTACTTTTAACTAGCTCACAGTTTATATACAAGAAACTGGTATTCGTTATAAAGTTACAGGTATCGTACGTTTTACAAAGCACGTATTTTAAATCGTTTTTTAACAAATAAGAATTACAACAATAATTCCTATAATTATTAATTATATTAATATTATTTTACCTATGCTTACGGAAGGCTGAGAAACCTCGTTAGGTAACCTATTTTATTGCAAGATATATCTATAGGCTGGTTACTGGTTAATAGTTTCTGACTTCTGTYAAGCCGTTGCAGTTCTAGAACATTTCGCGGTGTATAGGCAATATTTATATAATAATGTTTTGATGTAGGTAGGTAGTTAAATAATTATTTATAGTCCCATCAGGTTGTTTTTTCTTTGAATTCTTTCTCGGCAATGTGCTTTCATTATTAATTATCATATATAATGTMATTTACAATAATAATTAACATATTATGCTGACAACGCTGTATCAATATTTATAGGCACCTCTGTGTTTTTTCGGATCGTATTCCTACGTATTGTAATGTCATTACCTCCACTGGTCCACCAGCTAGGGTTCACATAATAATGAACTATATTAGACTATTACTATACATAAATATATATATATGTATTTTAGTATATTATTTATTATAAAATATTACAGTTTACACGAAACTGTTCTGYAATATTTATTCATAGAGGCTGGATTTCAAAGAGAATTTTAATTTTTAGGACACTTTTTACTTTTCAAGAGCTGTTCAGTAATTCGATTCATGTAACAGCAAACAGGTACCTACTACCTACCTACTCAAAACGCGAAACTTTTATAATTGAATTATTAATTGTATGCATTTTTGATTATTGTATTGTATGCGAGTTTTCAGAATCGCGGAAAAAAAGCCCATGGAAAAAAAAACCATAGAAAAAAAGCCCTCCGAAAAAATTAAAATTAAAAATAAATGTTAATACATCTATATATTTAATAAAATTATTATAAAATATTTTTTTAATTTTTTATCTAGTTTATATAAGTTTATATTAATTGAACTTTGCTTAAACCAGTCAAAATATTAGTTGGGTAATAAAATTGAAATTTATTGACAAATGACAGGTATTTGTATCCATCCAAATAGGTACTAACAAAATAATATGTAGTATTTAGCATTTTAGCATTCCATTAGTATACACTTGGTTGTTGTCTGTAATTGTCGTACCTACACAATTACTATTACAATTATTATTTTTGCGACTATTGCGATTATTATTATGATCATGTTATATTATCTGTAATATTGTGATAACATTTGTTAATATTATTATATTTATAGTTTGAATATTATGTACCTACTGTTTATCACAAAGTAAAATAACTTTATGATTGCATTATGATAGGTATTTGAGTTAATCAACAAAATAATATAAAACACACTTTTATTTTCGTGGGTTTTTTTTTGTTGGATTTTTTTGGGGTTTTTTTTCCGTGGTCATTTTTTCCGCTTACCGAGTTTTTAGTATACAATTAAATAGATAATCACTTATAATGATCCAAAATACCAATATAGRTGATGATGGGTACCGTTCTGAATGCTTATTAACAAGAAATTTCCGATGCATTTATCAATCTTTCTTTTTATATTATAATTATTTTAACAACTTCCATGAGTATACCTACTAAAATATGCATTTCGATGATTTTTTGTAATAAAATAAAAAAAAAATAGAAAAAACTACTATTGAGTAATTTTTTTAATGGCACTATTGGAGTAATCAGTAATTTTTTTAATGCGTTTTACGTTTATAGTTTTTAAAACGTTTAAACCTGAACCTGCTATACTAAATTATATTATATTTTAATAATATGAACGTA